ATATCAATTTTAGGATTAGCTTGTCAATTTCTGCAAAAAAAGACAGTTAGCATCTTTATATGGATTACATCGAATCTGTGGATCACTCTGGAGTGTTTAGTCAACTTAAAGACCTAAGATCTGTGAACATGATATTTTGCCATTTATTTAAATTTTCTTTAATTTCTTTCAATAATCCTATAATTTTCAGTATATGTATTGTGCATTTTTTTTAAAGATTTTATTTATTTATTTGACAGAGAGAAATCACAAGTAGGCAGAGAGGCAGGCAGAGAGAGAGGAGGAAGCAGGCTCCCTGCTGAGCAGAAAGCCCGATGTGGGGCTTGAACCCAGGACCTGGGATCATGACCTGAGCTGAAGGCAGCGGCCCAACCCACTGAGCCACCCAGGCGCCCCAAGTATTGTGCATTTTTTTTTAAAGATTTTATTTATTTGACAGAGAGAGATCACAAGTAGGCAGAGAGGCAGGCCTAGAGAGCGAGAGAGAGAGGAGGAAGCAGGCTCCCTGCCCAGCAGAGAGCCCAATGCGGGACTCAATCCCAGAACCCTGAGATCATGATCTGAGCTGAAGGCAGAGGCTTAACCCACTGAGCCACCCAGGCGCCCCTGTGTTGTGCATTTTAAGTGAAATTTATACCTAGCTATTTCCTTCTTTTTGATGCTATTTTAAGTATAATTGTTTTAAATTTCATTTTTGAATGTTTATTGCTTGTGTATGGATAGACAATTGATTTTGTATATGAATCTTATATTCTGCAACCTTTGTATACTTATTGATTTTATATATATAAATATATATATATATATATATTTATATATATATTTAGTAGATTCTTGGTGTTTGTCACTATATAAGACCATGTCATTTTCAACCAGAGAAAGTTTTGTCTTCCTTTTCAGTGTGGGTGCCTTTTAATTTTTTGTGTATTCTAATTTTGCTGGCTATCACTTCTAGTACAGTATTAAATAGACATGGTGAGAAAGGACATTCTAGTCTTGTTCTTGGTGCTGGTCCTAGAGGGAAAGCATTCTGTCTTTCATTGTTAAAATTTATATTAGCTGTGAGTTTTTCATAAATGCCCTTCATCGGGTAGAGAAAGTTTTTCTTTTTCTCTATCTTCTTGACTGTTTCTATCATGAAAAGTTGTTGGAAATTGTTAAATGCTCTTCTACATCTACTTAGATGATCATGTAGGTTTTTTGGCTTGTATTCTACTGATATGGTTTATTACATTTAATTTTATATGTTAAACCAAACTTGAATTCTTAGGATAAAGCTCAATTTGTATATCTTCCTAGGTTTGATTTTCTTTTCTTTTTTCCCTCTGTATTCAGAAGGGATGTTCCTGTGTAATTTCCTCTTTTTTTTTCTTTTTATATTTTTCTGGCTTTGTTGTCTGGGTTTCTGCATCATAATCCCTGTTTGCCATGATTCCCATTTCTCTTGCTTTTTGGCATAAGTTGTGCAAAGTTCATCTTTTGTACATTTCTTCCCCCAAATCTGGAATCAGCTGTGTTTTTAAGGAGCCTGTTCAATTTAGTGGGAAACTATAATCTGGGTGTTGTAGTGCTTAAAGTTGTTGGCTCTCACTGCTTTTAACTCCTAGGTAGTACGTATGTAGGTGTGTTTTTTCCTTTTGGTTCTGGAATATATAAAGTGTAGGCCCCTTTTTATGTACATGAAAAAACATAAAGTTGGATGAAATAAGGAAGTCAGAAGATTCAATTATAAAATGTTCATAAACTGATAGAATGAACCAGTGATTTATTTTGGAATATATATGTCAAAAACAAAAACAAAGAAATGGAAGGGATTCAGTAACAAATTTAGAATGGTGATGAACTATCATGGGGGACTTTTGGGCATACAGTTGGATAGATGCACCTACAGAGCTTGTGGATAGTGAGTATATAGATGTGTGTATTGTTCTTGGTTCTGGAATATATGTGTATTCCTTCTTTATATACATATATTTCACATTGGTTATTTATGAAACTTAAAGGTATTTATGCACAAAGCATTGTGAAATTATCTTTCCTATTATTTGTAAGTAGTCTTTAGATAATTTGTGTTCTTGGGTGCCTGGGTGGCTCGGTTGAGCGTCCGGCTCTTGGTTTCGGCTCAGGTCGTGATCTCAGGGTTGTGTGATCAAGCTCTGTGTCAGACTCCATGCTCTGTAGGGAGTCTGCTAGAGATTCTGTCTCTCACTCTTCTCTCTCCCTTTGCCCTCCCCTCTTTTCCCTTCTCTCTAAAAATTTGTAAATAATTCTTAAAAAAATAATTTACGACCTTTTGCCAACTGGACCAAAAGTGCCTTCTTACTGTGGCTATTAAAGTTCTTCTTACTTTTTATAATGCGGAGTTAGGTGAATACCCATATTGATAAAAATGAATTATGACCATTACACTGTATTTGTATTTGTATTTATTCAGTTGCATTTATATTGTAGATCTAAACGTGAAATAAGTTAGAGAAAGACAAATACTGTATGATCTTATTTCTATATGGAATCTAAAACAAAACAAAAGATACAGACTCATAGAAAAAGAGATCAGTCTTGTTACGAGAGGTAGGGGTTGGGTCAAATAGGACTTGGTAAAAGGTGGTCAAAAAGTACAAACTTCCAGTTAGAAGATAAGTAGTAAGGATGTAATGTACACAGCATGAGGACTGTAAGTAACAGTGCTCTATGATATATAGGAATGTTATTAAGAGAGCAGATCCTAATAAGATTTGCCATGAAAAGGAGGAAGTCGGTTTTTTCTTTATTCTTTTTATTGTATTTATATGACAAGATGGATGTTAGCTGATCATATTGTGGCAATCATTTCACAATATATGTAAATCCAACCATTATGCTGTACACCTTAAAATTACACAGTGATGTATGTCAGTTATTTCTCAGTAAAACTGGAAAAAGGCTTTTTTAAAATTGTTTTTATCAAAAGTGCCTTCAATAAATTTTGCTAATTTCATACAGTAGAATTCTATACAGTTAAGAGAATTACAGAACTATAATTATTATACCCAATAATATGGATAGATCTCTGAGTGAAGAAAATCTGTACTTAAAATTATATAATACATAATTCCATCTGTACAAAATTAAATAGGCAAAACTAATGTAATGCTAGAATAAAGGTTAGTCTTAATCTAGGAAGAGGTTTTGAGATGTGTTTCTGGGGGACTGTTAATGTTTTGTTTATTGGTCTGTGTTCTCATTACATAGGTGTGTTCAACTTAAAGAAAAATTTTCAAGTTGCACATTTATCATTTGTGTATTTTTTCTGTATTTATGTTGTATTTCCATAAAGCATCTACCAAAAATTTTAGATGCATAAGCGTATATATAAAATGAGCTTCCTTTTTGTATAGAAAAAGGAGGAGTAAGTTGTTTGTAATACATCTAAGTTATATAAGAAACTGATACCATAACTTACTTGGGGTAGTGAAAGACAATTGGGAGGGAGATTTTTTTATTTGTTTAAGGTGAGTTCATAAGAGATAGAAATATCCCACACTTTATTAGAGCTTCTATAAATGGTGCCGTCCATTACTGATTTTGTGTTATAGGATTTGTGTTATAAGAACATATTATATGTCATTATATCATTTCAATTCAGTTTTAAATAATATTTTAAACGAATTAAACTTATTAAAATGGGATCATCCTTATTTGCAGTTTTCAAAGGGTGGATAATGATACATGATAACATAAAGCTTGTAAATATATAAATACATATCCAAGGAGAGCTGCATGATGATATATATTCTCACAGCAGTGTTCTCACAGCTGTTAACTGAGAACATTAACTTGATCACTTCTGAAAAGATACACAAAGTAAGATGATTCAGGTGCCAAAACACTAAATGTATCTGTTTATTATCAGTGTTGAGCAGCTGTTACCAGTCAATATGGAAAGTTTGGTTAGGTCTGAGACAGTAACATCCTGGGGTCTGTTAACAACTCTGATTTGTTATATTGCAGTTTTGTCTCTAAACTGTTCTCAGTTTTAGTATCATACAAATTGATTTTATATAGAAGTCAGTGAATGGCAAGTCCCCCACCCATCTCTTCCTCTGAAAAGCTTTGCCGTCACTAAAATTATTTCTTGGCAAGCGGCAGCCTGACGTAAACTCTTGTGATTGGTGCAGTTGGCTGGCTGATTACTTGGTTTAGGTTGGTTTTGGTATTAACACATTTTTGCCAACATATATTTTGCTTCGGAATTAAAATGTACATGTTTATTTAAGTAATTCTTATTTGGATGCCACCCAGAGTGAGTGGAAATGACTGATGAAGTATATACTGTGTTCTCTTAGTTCCTTGTGTTGTAGAGTTCTGTCTTTTCTCCCTCAGGAGTTTTTTCAAGTCTTGTTAAAGCATTCTCTCACCTCTCTTTGTGGTCATGTATTTTTCTTTCTCTTTCCTGCCTTCCTTGAGAAAACTCTACTTTAGAGCAAGAAGCTGTCTGATTGAATTCCAGCTCTTTTCTCCAAAAGAAATTATTTTTAATGGTGTAAACAGAAAAATCTTTGGATGAATAAAAATGACTTATTTTGTTTATACTGAGTGTTATTAGTCAAGTTTATGTCTTTTATTTCTTATAATCCTTCAAGAGAAATTTATTATGATTTTGTTCTTTATATTTTTATCTGTGTTATATTGTGAATTCCATGGAAATTTGTGGGCCTTTTCCAATAAATTCTAACTATGGCAAATTTGACTTCTTGAACTGATACAGTTGTGTTTATCAAAAAGAAAATGAAGTTCTTTTCGGCGTAACTTGCGAAGATTAGAGTGGAGGAGAGACCAGAGATGCATTTCTTTATTTGGTATATGGTCTGGATATATATGTTTGAACCAGCGGCAGTACAGGATTTTTGCTATATGTGTGTGTTTTTAATCTTGTGGACCTGGAAATTGCCCGTTACTTAGCTCCTCTGTCTTTAATTGATCAAAATGCTCAGTTTTTCTCTTTCCCATACTTATCACAGGTGGAGGAATTACTGATGGCCATGGAGAAGGTGAAGCAGGAACTGGAGTCCATGAAAGCCAAGCTGTCCTCTACTCAACAGTCTCTGGCAGAAAAGGAAACTCATTTGACCAATCTTCGTGCAGAAAGAAGGAAACACTTAGAGGAAGTTCTGGAGATGAAGTAAGTGTTTATAATCTTATTTTTCAGGCATGTGCTTAGTAGAAAACCTTTTTCTCATTGCTTTCATCATTGGGCCCAATTTATTACCGCTAACACATCAGCTTAATTTTAATGCAGACCTGTATTTCTCACTCCCTAGAACAAATTTGAAACAAATTCTGGTCATATAGAATTATTTTTGCCTCCTCACTGAATTTTAAAGTTCTCTAGAGAGAGAAAGAGAGTGTGTATAGGTGTGTGTGTATAACCATATCCAGTCGCATCTCTGAAATTTCTAAAATCGTCTGGAAAGTTTAGCCATATTGCTGAGCTTCCTGAGGAACATGACTGTTGGTCCTGAGGTCCTGTGATAGCCAGGCACTTTTTAAAAACATTTTTTATTATAAACACTTCCAAAGGTATGCAGAAGTAGAGAGAATAATATAATGAGTCCCTACATAAATATCCTCCATGTTTTCCCCCGTCATTTTCCTACTAGTCCCACATCTTGTGGCTTCCTGAGATAATTTGTTGTGAGGTATGTGCATGTCTGCTAGTCTATAACAGATGCTCCTTTCTCTTCATCGTGGCACCATGCCCAGCCCTCACCCCTACAGAATTGCCCTGCTTCCAGGTTTTATAAAGACAGATTTATCCTGGGACAGCTCAGCAACCTTCTTTACCTCAGCAGTTATCTACATTTTTGTTGTCCTTTCTTCTGTTTCAGAAAAGATGCTCTCTCTCCATCATAAGGCTAGTTTCTGATCTCTATCACAGGTTTTAAGCACACGTCCCCTTCTCTGCAGTCTTCATCTGTTAGTCTTCTCTCACATAATCTGTGCTCATTATTAGTTTCTTCTTCTCTGCATAAAACTGAGTCTTTCTGACCTACAATAAATAGACTTCTCAGCTCAGCAAGTACTTTGGGTTAATATCACCTCTTCTTTTCTGCTGCTTGGAACTATCAATAAATGTTGAGTACCCAAATTACGGAGCAGACGAGCATCTTGCCAGGAGAGTTTTCATGACACATGTGGTATCCTGACAGCAGCCTAAGAGTTGAGAAAGCAGTTGTTGGGGTGTCACCTGCATGTAGGATAGGTTATTAGGCCACAGTGTAAGGTTAAGAGATTCTAATCTTTCAGAAAAGCATTACAGGTGATCTACTTTTAGAAGTGTTGAGTACTTGAAGCCACAAATAAATTTGTATGCTGGGAGAATAGGGGGAGGTTAGTGTTCTGAGTATCATCAAGAGGATAAAGTTTGTTAATATGCTGCAGTTAGTGTAAGACAAGTTTTTTGTCACTGGTGGTTGAAACTGAAAGCTTGGTATTTTGGAGATGGAGTAGTAGAGGTAACTTTTGAATAATAAAGCATGAAATTATTTGAATGGAAGAGGTCTGGGAACCATTCCTAAAACATGGTAGGGGATAGAGTTGAAAAGCAAATTAAATCACAGCCTAAAGGATTTAAGAAGATGGAAGAAGGATGGATATAATGTTGTGGAAAACAGTATCTCATGATGTTCTGAAACAGAAATAAGCCTCACTAAAGTAACAGTAGGGTAGTGTTGGTTTTTTTTGCTCCATGCACCAGTATCTTGATTTTTACCTGTCAGATCTTTCCTAGTAAGTACAGATACCTGCTTATAGCAAAATTGTGGTGTATTGGTATGGGAATTTTCTTTTATCATTAGGACTTTGAAAAGATATGAAAGAAGTTTTAAAAGAATGCTTGACTTCAAGTCATGAAAAGGGAGTGGGTGTGTAATTTTTTTTTCTTTTTCGGTACCACAGTGCTATACTCTGTTGTGGACTTCCCTTTCCAAACCAGGTCTGAGATTACATTTCTGAAAACTATTACGATTAGCAAAACTATTTTTGGTAACATCAAGCACTCACACAATAGGCATGGGATAAACGATTAAAGTATGTAGAGAAATTTTTAAGTAGTCCCGAAATTTAGTAAAACAACATTAAATGAAAGTTCTAGAAATAAAGTGCTAAAACCTGGCCCTGATGGACGACCTATCTCTTAAATCACCTTTTTCAGTTGCCCAGAGTATATTCTGTGGCATCATGATGCTCTTAGATTTTTCATGTTTGTGTCATGCAGATTTACCAACATAAAGGTTTTATTGTTGTTGTTGTTTTATGTTTTGGTCTATGGTTTATTTTTTTTTATTATGTTCAGTTAGCCAACATATAGTACATCATTAGTTTTTGATGTAGTATTCTCAGCATAAAGTTTTTTTTTTTTTTTTTTTTTTTTTTTAAAGATTTTTTTTTTTTATTTGACAGAGAGAGATCACAAGTAGGCAGAGAGGCAGGCAGAGAGAGAGAGAGAGGTAAGCAGGCTCCCTGCTTTGCAGAGAGCCCGATGCGGGACTCGATCCCAAGACCCCGAGATCACGACCTGAGCCAAAGGCAGCGGCTCAACCCACTGAGCCACCCAGGCGCCCCTCTCAGCATAAAGTTTTAAAAGTAGTCCTTGCTTTAATTTCCACTTAAATTTCCCCTTGTCTTTCAGTTTCATATCTTAGTAAAATAGTGGTCGAATACTTTCCTCTTAATAAGTTATCTCAGCACTTTAGACATAGTTCTCTATCCACATATTCTGTTGGGAGTGTGGTGGTTCTTTAACTGGCTGGCTCTGTTTTCACTGCCCTGTAGGCCTACCAAGTCTAGGAAGCAGCTAGTATTCTGTTCTTTCCTCTTAGAACAGTGAATTGAATTCCCTATTTTTTTTTTTAATGTAGATTTCCAATGTATGGCCTACAAATACAAAACCTTCCTAAAACCTCAGTTGAAAACTGTAACCTAAGTGTAATTATATACAAAACTCTATGAATGACATATTATGGGTTCTAATACAGCGAGCTTTTGATTCCTTTTCGCTATGAAGCTGAGCAAGAGAATAGGCTTTCTTCTATATTTTGGACTCTTTTCTATATGTTGAGCAAGTTCTTCTAATCACCTGTCCTCGCTTGGGGTGTCTCAGTTCCTATAACTTTGCTCCGAATTTACTTCATTCTTTTGTTAGTTTATAAGGAGTTTACTCCCTCCAACTAGTTCTACATGATCTCTGTCTCTAATTATTCACTGCAACTAGTAAGAACATACTTCATGGAATGAAAGAGCCTGAATCTGAGCTTACCAGTTCTATGACTTAAGCAAGTTCTTTAACCTCTCTCTGCCTCAGTCTGCTCATTTTTAGAATAGCGATAATAATTGTTCCTGCTTCATAGAATTTTCATGACATTTTTTCATTGTTTCATGGCAGGACCCACCATATTTTAAATGTTCACATTGCTTAATTATGGATAATTGAATAAGTAAAAGGAGTTGTTCATTATAACCCGAGAATTTGAAATGTAGAAGAGACTGAGACACGTATATGTGTGAGTCAGAATCTAGAATAAGAAAAGTCTCTCCTGAGAAAAAGGCAGAGCTGACCTATATATCTAAAAATATAGAAAAAATTTTTAAAGATTTTGTTTATTTATTTGGCACACACACACAGAGAGCACAAATAGGCAGAGGGGCAGGCAGAGGGAGAGGGAGAAGCAGGCTCTCCGCTGAGCAGGGAGCCCAATGTGGGGCTCGATCCCAGGACCCTGGAATCATGACCTCAGCCAAAGGCAGTTGCTTAACCGACTGAGCCACCCAGGCACCTCTAAAAATATAGAAATTTTTTTTAGCAAAGCACAGGAATAGTCTAGTTTTCTGCAGTAATCCTGACCATGTCAGACCAAAAGGAATGACCTAATCATTCTTCTCTAACCCTAGCATTTATGATTGTAATTTTTTTTTTTTTATGATTGTAATTTCTGAGCATCTTTTACAAACAAATGGTGGCCCTGAGTTTGAAGACATGTGAAACTGCTCACTTAGTAGCCTGCTAGTGAGCCAGTAGAAACATTTGTGTTAGTTCACCAGCCTTGAAGGAACATTTTTATTGGCAGATCCCCTGTTGGGTCTTCTTTTCCTAATGCCATGGTTTCGTTAGCCTTTATTTTTTTTTTATTCCACTTTTATATTAGTCTCTTTCCCTAAGAAAGAGAGGATGAATTGGAGAAGGGGACAAAATAATAAAATAACAATTATAATAACTGTAATAAATTTTAAGCATCAGCTCAGGTCATGAGTTTGAGTAGTACAATTTCTAGATGAGAGCTGGTTCATTCTCCACTGACTTGCATTCACACTCCTACTGCCGTCTCACCCAGTGTTGGCACTATGAATAAAAAGACTCATTTTTCATGTTTAATAAAAATTTTTATGAAACTATGAATTTGACTACCCTGAGAACAGGTTTGTTTGGGAGAAGTGGTAGAAGAGCCTTTTTGTTTCTTTGAGATTCCAGAGCCATTTGATAAGTAGCATTCCATTAGTAAAGTTGGCAGAGAAATTCAAACCTCTGTAGGCTAAATTATATACTCTTGAGATGCCTTTGGCTAAAGAAAGCTCTTAACTTCCCACAACAGAAAGTAAATTTTCATATGTACCTAGGAAGAGTCCTATAATACAATGTAAATTCTGACATTTTAGTATCTTTTAAGAGAAAGGGATAGAATATGTTTAGAATTAAGAAAGTTATTGAAAATGCTTATTTGAAAAAGTTCAGACTATTTGGGGATGGTATAGGTTAGGTGTCAATCTATTACACCTTGAATAATTAAAATGAGTCTGTATTTTTTTTCAAGATTTTATTTATTTATTTGACAGAGACATAGAGAGGGAATACAAACAGGGAGAGTGGGAGAGAGAGAAGCAGGCTTCCTGCCGAGCAGGGAGCCCAATGCAGGGCTTGATCCCAGGATCTTGGGTTCATGACCTGAGCTGAAGGCAGACTCTTAACGACTGAGCCAACCAGCGCCCCAAGTCTGTATTTTTTTTAAAGATGTTATTTATCTGAGAGAGAGAGAAAACAAGAGAGAATGATAGAGAGAGAGACCGTGAATGGGGAGAGGGGCAAAAAGAGAAGGGAAGGCAGGCTCCCCCCTAAGCAGCAGCCCCCTC